CAAAGAAAGGGGGGGAAAAGAAATTGTGTAAGGAGCTTTTATTAATGGCACACAATCTTTGGCAATATCTATGAAGATAAATGAAGTTATTTTTCTTTTGTCACCAAGTTCTCAAATAAGTAATTTATTCCCATGTAGTGTTGTTGTTAGTGTCCATCACGGAATAGAATGGAAAGTCCTCATTTAGTGAGTTTCTAGAGAAATAGATAAATTGGATTTGTTGGTGCTACATCTCCTAAAATTTCATTTCGTGCCTCTTCTCCTAATTTTCATTCCATTTAAATGTGTGTTCTTGAGGGAACTGGAGGACTTAATCACGGCCTCCACATATATTTTGATTATATGTGAATTCATTAAGCAGAGAGTTGGAAGCAATGTGCCGAGATGTGCCTCGCTCAGGGGACTAGCCCTTGCGAGTCACATAGCCAAGTCATCAGGACTCAGCCGGGTCTCGCACAAGGCCAAAAAGCCCTAAAAACCTTTAAAGAAATTAGAAAATTTTGAAAAAAAAAAAAGAAAAAAAGAATACATATTAAAAGTAAATTTAAACCCAAACAACTTTAAAAAGTCAAAACATGACAACTTTAAAAAGTTAAAACATGATTTAAAAAGTACACAAAACATGATCTAAAACACTTGATTTACAATTTGGGACATTATAAGAAATCTAAAAAAAAAAGTGGCTATGGCAAAAAAAAATTATCAATATTTACCAAATCCATACACATCAAACAAGTAAAACTTGTATAATGTAATGTGAAATTTTGGAGCACCTTTTGCTAGAACTATTTCTCCAAAATAGTATTTACTCAATCGTAGGGTGTTTGGAGAAGATACAAGAGGTTGCAATAACTTCATTGTAGGAATCTATCTAACAAAAAGAAAAATGTACATGCTTATTCAACTAGATTAGAAAGTGTACAGCAATACAAAAAGTCGAAATTCATGATTTGAATTTCAATTCAAAATTTCTGGTAATCCCAACACTCCCCCTCAAGTTGGAGCTTAAACATTGAAAACACCCAACTTGCCTGAGAAAAACTGAAATTTGTCTTTCCCAAGGATTTTTGTGAATATATCAGCTTGTCAAGAACCAGTTGGGATTTGAACAGTACGAATTAGACCATGTTGAATTTCTCTCGAACTAGATGGCCATCAAGTTCAATAAGTTTTGTTCGTTCATGGAAGAATGGATTGGCAATAATTTGTAGGGCTGATTTATTGTCACAATAAAACATCATGGGGCCATTATGACGAATGGAAAGATCAAACAAGAGGTATTTTAGCGAAGTAAGTTCACAAGATGCAACTGCCGCGGAACGATACTTTGTTTCTACAGATGATCGTGAAACCGTTTGTTGTTTCTTGGTTTTTCAAAAGGATTGTCTTCTAACATATTACAGTAAAAGGTAGTTGAGCATCTAGTCATTGGGAAACTAGCCCAATCAGAGTCACAATACACAGAGAGTTGTTGATTACTATTAACAAAGAGCATAATTCCTTGGCCAAGTGTCCTTTTTAAGTAGCAAATAAGTCGAATTGCAGCATCTAAGTGTGGTTTTCAAGGCTTATTCATGAATTGACTGAGGATGTGGACAGGGTAGGCAATGTTTGGCCTTGTAATTGTGAGATATGGAAGTCTACCAATCAACCGTCGATAAGGCGTGAGGTCATCCAAAAGAAGTTCATCTTTGTCATTCAATTTTAAACTTTGTTCCATTGAGAAAGAGACAGATTTTGCAGCCAAAAGACCCATGTCTTGAAGAACCTCAATAGTGTATTTCCTTTGTGTGAGAAGAAGTCATTTCTTAGAATGGAGAACCTTAATGCCAAGAAAGTATGTCAAAGGACTTAAATCCTTGATATGAAATATCTCACTGAGAAAGGCCTTGAGAGTATTAATGACATTAATATTGTTGCTCATTATCACAATATTATCTATATAGACCAAGACATACGTGCATGAACTGCCAGTAATGTTAGTAAATAAAATCTGGCTTTGATTGAACATGTCCTGCAATTAGTAATGCATCTGAAATTTGGCAAACCATTGTCTAAAAGTTTGTATAAGTCCATAAAGGGAGTTATTCAAATGGCAAACTCAATACTCTCCCTTATGTGAAAAACCCAATGATATCTTCATAAATACCTCTTTATGTAAATCACTATGCAAAAAAAGACATTTTGGACATCCAATTAATACAAAGACCAATTTTTATTAACAACAATTGTAAAGAGACAACGAACAGTGGTAAGCTTTGCTACTAGAGCAAAGATTTCGTAATAATCGAGCCCCACTTGTTCGTTGTATCGTTTAGTGTCCAATCGAGCCTTGTAACACTCGATGGACCCATCCGCTTTGTATTTTATCTTGTAAACCCATTTGCAACCAAGGGAAGGGTGGGGTCAACCAAGGACCATTTATTATTTGCTTCTAATGCAGTGATCACTTTGCTCATTGTTTTTCTCCAATTAGGATACGTGGATGCTTGTTTAAAAGAAGTAGGTTCAGTTGTGGTAGAAATGGTAGCAGCAAAAGGTTTGCAAGAGGATGAAAGTCAGTCATAGTAGATGACAACACTTAATGGATAGCGAACATCTTGAACCGGTTTAGGAGAAATTATGGTAGGTTGAGAATGCACAACGATGGAACAATGAAAACCTTGTAAATATTTTTGAGGTTGGCAAGACCGGTCAGAATGACGAGGGACATTTAGAGGTGTGGGTGGTGTTGGAGATGATGATGGTGATGGAAGCGTGATAGAGGTTGGAGATGAAGTTGACTGCTCAACAATGTGGGATGCATCAGTTGGCATTGGTAATGTTATATTGATAGGAATGTCAGGTAATGGATGTGAGAGAACAATATATGATGGTGTTGGGGATGATGAAGACTCGAAAAATGGGAAGCAATGCTCATGGAAAATGAAATTAGAGCCTACCTTCAAATAGTGTCGAGAAATATGGTTTCAATACTGGAAATCTTTGGGGTATCCTTAAAATAAATATTTATCTTTATTTACAAAGTTTAAAGCTTTAAAAATAGTGTAGATCGATAGATCTATGAAAACTTGGAAATCTTGAAAACTGACGATCCAAAAATGCATTACAAAATACACTATTTTCAAAACTTAAAATCCATTCTTTTCTCATGTCCATACATCTTGATGTCGAGATGATCAATTTGAGGGTATTTGGGTATCAAAACAACTTCTTCTAGTGAATAATTTAAGGTAGGCTCAAATTTGATTGTTCAGAGCCTCGTCTCTATATAAATTTTTCCCATATATATCCATGAGGCTGTTTTGATGCCCAAATATCCTCAAATTGATCAACATCAAGAT